TTTACTCTATAATAGCCATTAATTGGTATACCTATTACAACAATTTTATAAATTATAATCCATTTTTGGGAACAAATTACAATTAGATCAAATGTTTTGTAGGACTTGTTAACTACATATCTTATCCTATTTGCAAAAGGTAAAAACAACGATGTAGATTTTATCTACATTGTGGTAAAAAAATTAAAAAGGTTCGACTATGTTTTGTCGATTGTGAGAAATAAGAGTTTATCTTTTGATATCATCGATTTGTGTTTGTTTGATAATATAATAAATAATTCTTGTGCACCTTATACCTACAACTACAACTACTTACATCGACTTATATCAAAAGCTAGACTGTGGCTAGACCATATAAYACTCTAATACATTAAGACAAGTTCTCGGAGTGTTTAAAATTGTTATTCATATATTGCATAATAGTTTAAATTGATATAATATRAACGAATGCATTTTGGATATTGGATGTGGTACGAGTTAATTCGATATTTCGATAGGTAACCGTTTTTGAAATTACATATTACATTTTATGATATTAGAACCTCGATAACCATTTAATAGTACCTATTTGTATGTTTTCTAAATAGAACAAATAATTGATTCTTAAAATAGCAATTAATTTTATTACATTTAATTTAATATATGTCATAGGTATTTTATTATGTGAATTATTCAAATAACTCCAATAACCAAAATGAACAGTCAAAATTTTACATTAGCTGAAAATCTCATACCTTCTTCGTATGTACAGCAAGCTGCTAGTGCTTTGAGAACAAGAGAAAACTTGGCCAAGACACTAATGGAACAAGTATGTTATAAGTAATGGAAAATAAAATATAATGATAAATGTTTGCTGAAGTAAGCAATACTATGCCATTAATATATTTATTTCTACATTTCAATGCCTTACGGCTTATGATAGGATATAAGATTGAGTTAGAGTTTTTATTACTTATTTAGTATATATATCAAATAACCATTTATAAAAAACTATTTACATATAAAGTACTATAAAAAATTAATTATCGCTTACTATAAGACATAAGTTAATTAAGATTTAGGTACATTAGTACCTATGATTACATTTTGTTTTTCTGATTAGGTACATATTTATTTATAAAACTTCTTTAAATTGGGCCAAGATTAATTGGTTTGTTAGTATATTTCACAGCTTTTTAAATAGATTAATTTGTTTAAGTAATTAATAAATTTATATTGGACTCCCACCACTTATCATTATCCCTTTTATTACCTTATGCATTATACAAATAAATAAATAAATTTAATGTGCGACATTTTAAATATTTATCACAATGGAAAGAAATGTAAAAATAATATTTAAAATATACATTGAATGTTGGAATTCTGTTTTAAATCATTTTCCTATGAAGTATTAAGTCTTTGTGTAACCAATAATTAAATATAATTTTTATAATTTTTATTTTACTAGTGATATAATTAAAATTAAAATCATAATACAATTATTTGTTAAAGAGAAAATGGCCAGATAATGGTTGGGACGATGCAACAATCGAAATGTTTCTATCAAACTTAGCACTGATGGACAGTAATAACTTCAAAGAACATGCTGGTGTTGGTGAACGAGAAGGACGCATAGCTTGCAATTTAGTTGCAAAACGTCATTTTCTTATGACTCATGGTATTGGCAGGTCTGAAAATATTGCTGAAGTTCAACCTAATGCCACAGGATCTAGTTTAATGATAAAATTAGTCAACGCTATGCTCTTAGAGTCTATCCGTTTTATGGGTAAAGAAATTTATTTTATTTTTACATAGGAGAATTTGTTTAATATGTTTATTATGTTTCTACACACGAGCATAAAAATGGCCTCATTTATATTAAAACATTTAATTTTAATTTAGGAGTTGCAAGTGCGACTGGTTGTTTTATGGTTCCGATGGCTACTGGAATGAGTTTGATGTTGTGTATGTTAACTTTAAAACAAGATAGGCCTGGGGCCAAGTTTGTGCTATGGTCTAGAATAGATCAAAAATCGTGTTTCAAATGCATCATTACAGCTGGTAATTTAAAATCTTGAATTGGATAAAGAAATTTAGGAATTATTAATGTTTATTTTAACCAATCTACTCAGGTCTGCAACCAATAATCATAGACCCTATACAATGTGGAGATGAGTTACATACCGATGTACCAGCAATTGAAGCACAATTATCAACACTTGGATCAGATAACATAGTATGTGTCCTTAGCACAACTAGTTGTTTTGCCCCAAGAGTATCAGATTCACTTGAAAAAGTTGCTTGTCTTTGTCAAAAATATAATGTACCACATTTAATTAACAATGCATATGGTTTACAATCTACCAGACTGATGCACTCAATCCAAGATGCGTCAAGGTGAAAATTATATAGATTTAATATATTTTTTTGTCTAATGTTTATCTTATTATATATTTTATTAGAAAAGGGAGGATTGATGTTTTTGTTCAAAGTACTGACAAAAACTTTTTAGTTCCTGTTGGAGGTGCTATTATTGCTGGGTTTGACAAAACTATTTTAGATAAAATTACTAGAAATTACCCAGGTATATTATTAACATTATAATTAAATTTATTAATAATAATCTAATTTTCTAAAATAATTAGGAAGAGCATCTTGTAGTCCTGTCATGGATATCTTCATAACATTACTCTCATTGGGTACTAATGGTTATAAAGAATTGATAACACAGCGTAAAGAAGTACACCAACATTTACGAAAAGAACTTGGAAAGATTGCAGCAAAATATGGTGAACGTTTATTGGACATACAAAATAATCCTATATCTATAGGTAATGCAACATTTTAACTGGGAATTATAAATATTTAACAAAATATTTATTTTAGCTATGACATTGACATCATTGAGTGTTCCAAATGCGACTGAAACTGATACAAAAAAATTAAGTCAGCTAAGCTCCATGATGTATATGCGCCATGTTACAGGTTGCAGAGTTATTTCATCTGTTGAAGTCAAAGATGTTTGTGGATATAAATTTGATGGTTTGTTAATATTTATATATTTTTAATTAATATTGCTATTATTGCATAATGTAAATTATAATATTCGTTTATATTTTAAGGTTGGGGAGCACACAAATCCAACTACCCTTGTCCTTATATTACAGCTGGTGCCTCAATAGGTGTTAAAAAGTCTGATATTGATTTGTTTATACAAAAATTGGATAAAGTTATTGCTAGGTTAAGAAAATCGCCGCCATCCAATCTGGAAACTCCATCATCATCTGAAGGTAATGATACCACTTCAATGCGACGTACAGCAACAGTTGCATCTAGCTATCGAAGCACAGTAAATGGAGTTTACTCTACTGGAGACGGCAGTACATCAACTTCACGCACATCTAGTGTTGATAACTTACGTAAACATTAATAATTATGTTTACATTCTAGACATCATTTATACTACATATTATAATGTATGTAAATGTTCTATTTTAGTCAATTTTTGCTTGTAGAGCAGAAAGGGATCTCTGGAGTAGTTATATTTTAAAATATTCAATATTGAATCCTTAACTCTTAGTAGTTGGTTATTTTATATGGTTTTGTTTATAAAAGTATTAGATGATACCTATCATCATGACGTGTTAGGATTTTTAGAAATTATTTAATCTTGTTCAGATGCCTATAGACTGAATGACTCAATAGTTCTATTTATGTAAGTATAATGAAAAGCAAAGCTTAAGTCTTAAATTTAATTAAGTTAATATTTTTAAAAATATAAGAAGTCTAGTCATAGTATTCTAAGGTAAAATTTTGATGTTCCTCATTATTTATATTAGTAAAGATAAATTTTTTTCTCTTTAATGAGTAATATAATTTCTTATGAATCTGGTAGATTTTTATTAATTTCTACATATTACTATTCAAGAAAAATGTATTATTTAAAAAAAATATCTTATAATATATCATTGAATATTATTATCATAGATAATTAATGGTTGTTAGGTATGGGTTAAATACATTTTGGATTAATGTAAAATATTGATACTTGTTATACCTAATTACATTTTTTTTTCAAATTGTATTTTGTATAAGATTTTATTTTGAGAGGTATCTTTATTTTTGAGATCAATATTTTCATTCACCTAAAATGATTTTACTAAAATCGAATAGATAACTAGTTGTTGTGTTAATTAAATTTTACTCATGAATCACTTACGGCATAGTAAATTCAAATATATTTACTACATGCATCTGAAATAGATTTTTGTATTTTTAAAATTTGAATTGCCTTTATATATTTTAATTAAATTTTAAATTATATAGAAGTACAATGGTTATTAAAATAAGTGCAATAAAACACTTTTCAGAGAAATAATGCTTTGAAGCTTTACTTAATTAATAATTGTACTTTAGAATTCATTCCAGAAATCCCTTATAAGATAAAATACACTACTTGAATATTTTTAAGAACAAGATTTATAGTCTATTTATAAGGTAATGACAATGTGTTGTACAAAAAAATTAAACATTACAATTTAATATTAATTGAAGGTGCTTTTATGTTTTTTAGTATAATAAGAACAATTTTAGGCAAGTTCCCTTTTTTAAAATTTTTGTTAATCACATTGCTCAATATTATTAGTTTTACATATTCTAGTCTGATGCTTTATTTCTGATAATGTTTTTATACTTCAGTCAACATTTTGAGTTTGGCGAGTACTTATATAATATCTATTATTAATTTTATTTAGATATTAATAATATTTATTAAATATTGGAGTACAAAATAGATTTATCATAAWAACTAGATTACAACATGCTATTGTGGGCGGAACATAACACCTTGACTAAGTTTATACTAATACTTAGGTATTTTTAATTCTAAAATAGTTGTATTTATTAACAATAACTAATTTTTTTTTTATTCTAAGTCATTGATTGTATTGTTTACATTCCAAACTTTATTTAATGATTATTTAATTATGATTTTGAATAATTTGAAAACTAATAATATGTGATTATAATTTACTATGATTTAAAAAGGATGTAAATATTCAGGTTTTTAAAGCATATTGTTGAATAAGTGTAATTAAGAATAAGAYGACTTGTAATAAAATAACTAATTGCATTTTATATTCTTTGAGAATTGTTTAAAACACAAAATGTAATGTAACTTTATATTTCCTAAAATTATAATTTTCATATTTTGTATTATTGTATAATGCAAATTCATACMAAGTTTTAGCAAACATTAAATACGTCACAATTATAATAAAATAATATTATGTTCTAATGTTAGGTAAAATAAGTTGTGAAAATGTATGATAAAACTACACAAGACTGTAATATTATAACATACCTTTACCTAAACTATTTGGAAATCTTATTTACCATGCTTATAGGTATATTTTTTTTCACTTTTTATTATTATTTTGTTAGGAACTGACATTTTTCCTAGTTGATTTTATTTAAGTTATTTATTTTTAATTATTTAGTATTTTATTACATTTATAGAATTTATAATTTTTTTTTTTTAATATCCAAAGTCCTAATATGAGCATATAGTGATTATGTAAATTTTGTGCAATGAATAAGTTGTGTAATTTATGTTGAGAAAATATTTATTATTTTTTTCCAATTTCTCACATAAAATATAAAGTATAATTTTGAACTGAGCTTTAGGTTTCTTTTTTCTTCATGGTTTATGAATAAAAAAAGTCAAGTCATATGAGCTTGATTTATTATTCTATAATTTGTTTCCTATTGATTACAATCTAATGACAATGTTTATACTGAATGGTGGGGAATAATAAAATAGTAGACTAAAAATTTGTCCTGTGCACTAATTCTCWTGCATACCTATTATCTGACTTATAATTTTTTATTGTTAAAATGTTTTTGTATTTATTTATTATTATATTTTTTTTTCATTACAATTAGTAATTTGTTCTATGATTTCTGACTAGTCAACTATATGTACTCGCCAATCTCTAAGCTAAAATGTAAAATACAAAAAATGGTTCAGTGGTTGAACATTGATATTGAATTATTGAAAGTATATTTTAATTAAAAGAAGGATGGAATAACATTAAGACTTTTGGAGGCTGAACTTTTTTAATTTAACAAAAAAATTCTTCCATACATTTTTAAGTTAAAATTTTTTTTTTTATATATATATATATATATATATCGTTTTTTCAGTCATGCCTATGTGATATTATTGAAAACATTTAGAACTAAAAATTTAGTCACTATACATTATTGGCTCAAGTTAATGCATCTAAAACGTTTTTAAATTTATTTATTATTTTTTTTTTTCAATATTCTGTTCCGCTATTTTTATTGATTTTTATTGCATAAACTATAAAATAAATATTACTATTTTTATTGGACAATCACTTAGTTTGAATATGTGTATTTAAAGTGAAGCATTTCAATTTTATTTAATGTTTAATTTGCATCAACTTAGCCAAATAATTGTTATTAACAAGAAGTAAAAACAATGTTAAAAATATGATGTAAATATATTCTTTTGCTTGTACAATTTTTTTTTATATAACACTGTAATGTGCAATAATTTAAAATTTGTAGTTTCACAATATTTATGTATGTTATTTACCTATATTAATAGTACCTACATACATTTTGTCCGCATTGAGTATTAGTTTGTTAAATTTTGAAGTGACACAAAAACACTTGAGTAAAATAAAAAACCATTTTATTAAAACTAAAAAATTTTATTTGTTTTTAACATTTTACTGAAACATGTTACGTGATAGATTTTGATATTAATTACTACTATTGTCAAAATCAAAAAGCGATAGTACCTAATGGAGCACAAAATATGGTTTTTATCAACTCTATTACAAAATCAAAATATGATAACATGAGATATTTGATTATTTTTTAATTGGATATTTTAGATATAATTTCAAAAAATGATCCATATTTAACTTTCCATTAAGTATGGATGACATTATTTATAGATTTTTTTACAAAAAACTAATAAACCCAATTTTCCATAACCTCCTCTCCCAAGCCTCAACACTAACTTACAGTGACCCTCTTRACAACTACAGTTTAGGCGTACACTTGGGACGCAATGTGGTACCCTGCACTTGCTCGTCGTTTTATGGATCAATTTTGAATTTTTTATAGATATAGAATAGATAAATAAGTACAAAAAAAACCTAAATTTTCCTATGCCCGGTGCATAATTATTTTATTAGAACTTTTTACAATTTTGTAAACGGGTTTTTTTTAAATCTGTCTCTAAAAAAAATCATACTCACTTAGCTACGAAATGTTAACGATAATAAGCTGTTGGCTAGGTAATCTATCAAAGTTTTAAAACTTGTATTATTCRAGACGAGACTGATAATTTACTTTGGGTTTTCGAAGTTTTATATAAAAAACGATTTTTTTTATTATTATTTCCTTATATTTATTATAACAGTAGGTAGGTACATAATTTGTGTAAATAAAATATTTAAATTTGTGTTGCACTTAATAATTTATAGCCATTTTATTATGGCGACGAGCAACATACAATATAATCAACGATTAACTTTTACGTCTACTTACTTTACCGTAAGGAGAATCCGCGTTTGTATTTAAATAATAGTTACCTTCTTTCCTGTAAATCATAATAATTTATATATATACTTTTTTTAATGATAAGTACCTAGGTTACATACGATTTATCAAAAGGCGCTTTCCCTAATTGTACTGATAGATCTGTATTATTTGAACAAGCACCTGAAGTATAATCCTCATAAGAAGGACAAGGAACAGCAATAAATCCTTCACTTTTAGTTATCGCTTCTGCATAATAATAATACGCTCTGCGATGACTACATACCGCTAGATGTTACATAAAAAAAACAGCATTTAATAATTGTAAGAATATCCTAGGCTTTTTTCTGAATTATAATATATCGATTAATGATTGTTAGATGTTACCAGCATAATCAATTTTACAACCAGGTTGAGGCCAAGCACCACCATTGGGATAAAAATCCCTATGCCCAAGTCGTTTTTTAAATCCTAGAAATCCGCCTGACGTGTGAATGACTTCGACTAGTTTTGCTTGACTATAGTCAAGGCGTTCTTCGGGGCTTGAYGAAGAAAACAAAACTTCCGCTGGATCGAGTCCTTCAAAAAATAGTTATATTGACTTAAAAATTAAACGTTTGCCTAAATATTTTACCAGTAATATGTTTAACTTTTCCAGATTTAATTTCGTTATTTGTAAGACCAACAACATGAGCCCCTAATGAAAATCCAATCAAATGAAAATCATCTGCACGAGCATCAGTAGATGACGTTAAATGGTCTATGAAGGAAGCCAAATGTTTTGATACATGTTTTGTATTTTTCGCAGCAGAATTATACCAAGGAACAGCAGCCAATTCCGACCAATCAACAGTGAATATATTATAATCGTTGTAGTTTAAAAATGCTGTAAATATATATTGTAATAAGATACCTATTATTATAGCATGATACAAGTACGTATTTATATTTTTAAAATTATAATAACTATATGACGTATTGGTACACACGTGGTACATATACAGATGTGCCCCGCAAGGATTTACCCATTGTGATATCTTACGAAACAATGGAGATATCAAAATTCTGGTCTTATAATAAGATTCACAGGGATAAGATGATAAGAACTACAATTATTTCATTTTTAAATTTTTTTTAATGTTTTTGTAAACGATTTAAAAAATATATTTTTTTATTTAATTATTTTCAAAAAAATTGAAGAGCTTATTTTTTTGAAAATATTGACATTTCAAAATTTTATTTT